TTTGTTTTAACCTTCAGATATTGTCTTAAATTCATGGCGACCTTCCCTAAACTTGTTTTTAACCAGTTAATATTTAATCTTTGATAACAGTTCATCTCTGTGTCTGCAGACTATCTTGATAAAATGTGCCCATAATGCGTACATAGTAAGGCTTTAGTGAAGCTGAAGCATATCTAAATGATAAAATTTTAAAATCTTTTTTGTGGGTAAAATTTACATACTGTAAAATACACAGATCTTAAGTGTACACTTCAGTAACTTTTGATAAATAAATGTACCTGCATAATCACTATCCCAACCAAGATATAGAACATTATTATCACCCCAAAAAAGTTCCCTTTTAGTCAATCCTCAGCCTCTATTGGCAACCACTATTCTGATCTCTGGGACTTTTGATTAGTTTTGCCTCTTCCTAAGCTTCATTTTAAATGGCATCATACAGTATATACTACTTTGTGTTTGCCTTCTTTCACATAAATCAGGTTTTTGAGATATTTTTTTCTGTGTGGTTATATATATCGTTCATCCTCTTTTGTTGCTGAATAGTATTCCATTGTATGAATCCATCATAATTTGTTTATCCATTCTTCTGTTGATGAATATTTTGGTTGTTTCAGTTTGGGACTAATATGAATAAACCTGCTATAAACTTTCTTGTAAAAGTCTTTTTGTGTGTGGACATACGTTTTTACTTCCCTTGGTAAATACTTAGGGATGGAGTTGCTGGGTTATAGGGAGGATTATTTTTAACTTTGTAAGAAACCGCAACCAGAAGTGTATGAGATTTCCAGTTGTTCTGCTTCCAACAGTCAGTCTTTATAATCTTAGGCATTCTAGTGGATGTGATGATATTTCTTTAATTTGCATTTCCCTGATTAATGATGTTGAATACCTATTTAGAGGCTTTTTGGTCATTGTCTTTTTAAGTCCTTTGCCCATTTCAAGTCTGTTCAACTCTTGTGCACACTTTTTATTGCCTATATTTTGTTTTTTTTTATTATTAATCTTTAAGAGTTCTTTCTATATTGTAGGTACAAATCCTTTGTCAGATACTTGTTTTGCAAATATTGTCTCCCAATCTGTGTTTCCAGTGTTTGGACCTTCTGTAGTATATTTATAGTACTTCTTTTCAGATTAACAGTTAGACCCATTACTTTAAATTTAGAGGTATTTCGCCTAAATCCATAATTAAGCATATTATTTGAAAATGTAACTGACATGCTATTTAGAAAGTTTATCTTTGTGGATATCCTATACAATGTTACAATTTTTGCTTTAAATAGTTGTCTTAAATAAAGAGAAGGAATAAAAAATAGTCTTTTATATTTACCCACATATTGATTATTTCTGGTATTCTTCATTCCTTCCTGTAGATCTGAGATTAATCTGGTGTCATCTCCCTTTAACCTGAAGAATTTCCTTTAGCATTGTTTAGTGCAGATTTGGTGATGAATTATCTTGGTTTTTGTTTACCTGAAAATATTTTTATTTTATCCTCATTTAAAAAAAGCTTTTTTGAGATACAATAAAGATATGATAACAGTCACCTGTTTTAAGTGTACAGTTCAGTGATTTTTAGTATAATTATGTGCAGTAATCGCCACAGTCTAATTTTATAACCTTATGCCTATGAGTACTCACTCCCTATTACACTCTGCTCTCCCCTGCCCATCACTAGGCAACAGCTAATTTACTTTCTGTGTATAGATTTGCCTCATCTGGACATTTTATATAAATGGAATATACAATACGTGGTTGTCTTTCACTTAGCGTAATGTTTATGAGGTTCATCTGTGTTGTATCATGTATCAGTATTTCCTTTTTATTGCTGAATTTGTATTCCATTGTATGGTATCCCACATTTTATTTATTCATTCATTAATTGACATATGTTGGGTTGCTGCACTGCTTAGTTATTATGAGTAAGGCTGCTATGAACATTTGTGTACAAGTTTTTGTGTAGACATATGTTTTCATTTCTCTTGGGTAGATAGATAGGGGTAGAACTGCCATCACCCTCACTTTAGAAGAATATTTTTGCTGGATATAGCATTTGAGATTGATTTTGGGCCGTGCTGAGTGGCTTGTGGGAATTTAGTTCCTTGACGAGGCATTGAACCCGGGCCCTCGGCAGTGAGAGCATGGAGTCCTAACCACTGGACCGCCAGGGAATTCTCATGATTGCCTTTCTTAAAAGCACGTCAAAAAATGTCCTTCCATTTTCTTCTGGCCTCCATTGTTTTTGATGAGAAGTCAGCCATATTGTTCTACTACCCCTGTATGTAATGTGTTGATTATTTTTTCCCCCTAACGTTGCTTTGTTTCTTTTTATTTTGGGTTTTCAGCAGTTTTATTATGATGTTTTCCTTGTGTTTATCCTCCTTGGACTTTGCTGAGCTTCCTGGATTTGCAAATTATTATTTTTCACCAAATTTGGGAAATTATCAGCCATTATTTCTTTAAATATTTTTTCTTCCTGATTCTTTTATTTTTCTGGGACCCAATTAAACATATATTAGACCAGTTATTAGTGTTCCTGAGTTTCCTAGAGCTTTATTCATTTGTTCCCCCTAATTAAAAAGAAAAAAAACCTGTTCTCTAGATAGGATAATTTCTTTTGATCTTTCTTCAAGCTTACTGTACTTTTCTTCTACTGTCTCTAATCGCCTACTGAGCCCATCTAGTTAATTTTAAATTTCAAATATTATAATTTTCAGTCCTAAAATTTACATTTAAAAGTTTCTCTACTGAGATTCTCCATTAACTCAGTTATTTTGACCAAGTTCCTTTGTCTTTGAATGTGTTTATACTGGCTGCTTTAAAGTCATTGTCTGCTAATTTTCAATATCTGAATTATGGGGGGGGTCTGTTTCTATTGACTGCTTCTTTTTCCTCCTTGAAGTTAAATCACATTTTTTCTGCTTCTGTAAAAGTCTAGTAATTTTTTTTTTTAACTATACAGTTGACCCTTGAACAAAACAGGGGTTGGGGTGCTGACCTTCCGTGCAGTCAGAAATTCATGTTTAACTATACATTGGTCCTCTGTATCTGCAGTTCTGCATCTGTGGGTTCAACCAACCATGGATTGTGTAGTACTGTAGTATGTATTTAGTGAAAAAAATCCACATATATGTGCATCTGCATAGTTCAAACCTATGTTGTTCCGGGGTCAACTGTATATTGGAAATTGTGGATGATTATAGACACTCTGGATCAGTTGTCTTCATCTGAAGAGTGTTACTTTTTGTTCCAACAGGCAATTAAAATACTGACTGATCACCCTGAAACTGTGGAGATTTGGTTTTATACTTTGTTGGAGTATGTGGAAATCCCAAGGTGTTTACTAATCTCTGACCTGGTGGAACTCAAATTCCAAAATGCCTTGCAGGGGACAGCAGCTGAAACCTGTTTAGTTCTTTTAGCCTTCCAGATATTTTTTTCTGCTGAGGTCCTTGGAATCTCCTTCATGCATGTGCTGTTCAGGGTTTAGTCAGGTATTTAAGAGAGTTTATATTAGTGTTTGGGGCTCCCGCTTGGGACTTACCCCATTCCAAGATTTCCCCTTCAATTTCCAGCTGCTCTTGTCATCCTGAACTTCAACCTCTGATACCTCAAGCCAGAAAGACTGACTTTTTGCTCAAGTTTTAGCTATTCTGCACCACAGGGACTCACTTGGCTGGGAGTGGGAGGTTAGAGGATTCTTCAGGGGGAAAAGCTGTATTAAAGTGGATCTTTTGCTCATTGTGTTTTCTTTCAAGGGGTAAATGCCCTCAAGTTTCTGCCTGCTCTTCAGCACTCTTCAGTGCTTTCAAATAGTTTTTTTTCCCCTTTTCTTTCTGGAACTTAAGGTGTTCCTGAATCATCACATCTGAACATACTCTCTTTGTTTTGAAAATTCGCACAGCATGCTGTACCCTTATATAGTTTTTTATGCACGTGATTTTTCTCCTTCCAGTTATCTGTTGCTGCATACAGATAACTCTAGAACTTAGTAGTTTAAAACAGCCATTTTATTACGCTTACAGTTCCTGTGGGTCAGGAATTTGGAAAGATCATAGCCAGGATGACATGTGTCTGCTCCGTATACCTGGGGCCTCGTCAGGGAAGGCTTAAAGTGTGGGGGTAATGCTAATAACTGGAGCAGCAGTCACATCTGGCCACCTGGAACTGTGGGCCAGAACACCTCTTCGTGGTCTCCTCACAGCACTGTGGCCTTGGATTTTTTACAAAGCAACTCAGGGCTCTAGTGTTAGTGTTCCAGAGAACCACCTGAAAGCTGCATTGTCTTTTATGATCTAGTCTGAGAAGTTGTATGGCAGAGTTACATAGCATCACTTTCTCTACTTTATCAGTGAACCAGCGTTTATTGTTGACCTAAATTCAAAGGTAGGGACATAGATCCACCTCTCAATGGGAGAAGTGTCAAAGACTTTGCAGACACTTTTTATTTTTAATTTTTTAATACGTCTTTATTGGAGTATAATTGTTTTACAATGCTGTGTTAGTTTCTGTTGTACAACAAAGTGAATCAGCCATATGCATACATATATTCCTATATCCCCTCCCTCTTGAGCCTCCCTCCCCGCCCATCCCACCACTCTAGCTCATCGCAAAGCACCGAGCTGATCTCCCTGTGCTGTGCTGCTGCTTCCCACTAGCTATCTATTTTACATTTGGTAGTGTATATATGTCCATGCTACTCTCACTTCATCCCAGCTTCCCCCGACCCCGCCCCATGTCCTCAAGCCCATTCTCTATGTCAGACATGTTTTAAAACCACCATGCTCATTTAACAAATAGTAAGCTCCTTCTGTGTCCTAGGACAGTCTTAATGTATATCTCAATAGATATTCATTGTCGTATTGAATTTTTCTTCTTAACTATAGTAGATTTAGACCTAAAGTTAAATTTGTGTTTAAAGCTTTAAGAAAGGAGTAAGATATTTCACTTCTTAAAAACATTTCCTTAGATAGATTATCTTTTTGTCTTGTTATTTGTAGAATATAGTATTTAATGAAAAGTCCATGCTTAAGTGGTGAAAATGGCAGGCTTCCTAGATAATTTCCGTTGGCCAGAATGTGAATGTATCGACTGGAGTGAGAGAAGAAATGCAGTGGCTTCTGTAGTAGCAGGTATATTGGTAAGTGAAAAAGCCTGGTTGGTGACATTTATACCTCACTTTTTGCCCTGAAAATTAATCTTGATTCCTTTGAACTGTGAATACCCATGATAATACAGTTTTTGAAGGCAGTAGTTTTTTAAGTAAATTATGTAATATGTATCATTCCTTTAGGATCCTCAAAGGCTCAGAATTTGATGTAACTAATAATATTGTTGTGACTCATTGAAATTCAGGATGTGCAGACAGTAGTAACAACCTTAGGCTGCATTAGAACTGAAGCCCTGCAGCCCTTTAGGGAAGGGTTGCCATCTTCTTACCCCAGCTGCAGCACAGGCAGGAAGCGAGAGGAAGAAATTTGTGGAGGAGACTACTGCTTAATTTTTTTTCCAATATTTTTTTAAAAACTTTTTATTATTGAAAATATCAGTAGTATACACAAAAATAGAGAGAATGGTGTAGAGTCCTCTCTCACCCCCTGTGCTTATCATTGAGTTTCAAAAAAAAAAGTCAGATCATGACCAATCTTGCTTTAGCATTCCATCAAGCATTCCCTGCCCCCACTGCACTTTTTGAAGCAAATTTCAGTATATGTTCCACTTAATTTAAATTAATCTTTTCCAGTATATAGTTCTATACCTGAAGTTCAGTAGAAAAGATAAATAAAGAAATAAAGTGGAGCAGGAACTAAAGATATTGGGGTGGCCAAAAAGTTCGTTCAGGTTTTTCCATAACATCTTAGAATTGTGAAGCAATATGCATGCAGAATTCTTTTAGGTGTTTCCAAGTTTTTCTTGCTCTCTGTGGTCACCTCGCCTGCACTTAATTTGTCTATGAAATTCCTTAGTAACTTGTCTACTTTAGTTCTATTCAGCTTAGTTTACATAGAAACATTACATTTTGCAAACTCATGTTTAGTCAGTTTTGCAGTATTTAATCAAATTACATAATTAAAATTATAGCAAGCGTAGATATTTTTTGGAGACATGGCAGCTCATTTGTGGAAGCAAAAGTGCTTGGGCATATTAAAAAAGAATGTTCCACATTCTTTTTAATATGAACGAGAGAGTGAAACACATCAGGTAATCAGGGAGCTGGTTAGTTGGAGGTTAGTTAAGAGAGCTTTGGTTGTATATAATTTTATAGTGGATAAAAGAAGCAGATAATTCATTCCTAGGTAATAAATTTTTCATCTTGCATTAAGAGCAGAACTTGAATCTTACACGGATTTGATTAGAGTCACCTCATATGCTATAAAGAATAAGTAAACAAGGGATTCTTGTTTTTTATATTTCAACATCTAAAACTCAAAGTAGACATATTTTATGTTTCAATTATATGGTCCATAGAAAACGTGGAATGTTAAGGAACGGTATCATGCTAAGCCAAAGTATTAGTGTTATTTTAATGACATGGGTTCTTTCTCAAGTTTTTTACAGGTTGGTGGATAATGATTGATGCAGCCGTGGTGTATCCTAAGCCAGAACAGCTGAACCATGCCTTTCACACATGTGGTGTATTTTCCACATTGGCTTTCTTCATGTAAGTATGAAGGTAATTCTCAATTCAAGATTATTTTTCTAAAAACATTTTTTCCTCAAAGTTTAATGCTATCTGGAATAACTTTTTAATTTCATTGATTGACTCTTATTTAACATGATAAATATATGTGTATATATCTATATTGCCATTTTATTAAGATTTTTAAAATCAAGAATGAGTGTTGAATTTGGGGGGGAGAGATTAATTGGGTGATTGAGACTGACATATACACACTACTATATATAAAATAGGTAACTAATAAGAACCTGCTGTATAGCGTAGGGAACTCTACTCAATACTCTGTAATGGCCTATATGGGAAAAGAATCTAAAAAAAAAAAGGTGGGTATATGTATTTGTATAACAGATTCATTTTGCTGTACACCTGAAACTAACACAACATTGTAAATCAACTATACTCCAATAAAAATTTTTTTAAAAAGGTGTTGAATTTAGTCAGAGAATATTATTATACTTTATAAAGATTATCATGTGATTTTTGTTCTTATATTTGTTAAACTGACAAATTACTATGTTTTATAGATCTTAAGATTTTTTTTTTGTATTTTAATATCTTTGAATGTCAGTGTGCTGCTTCTTGTAGTCATTGGTACCTTATAATTCATAATATTTTTTCCTTCTTGGCAGTATAAAAAAATAATGGTGCATCTTAAAAATCATTGGCATCTTAGGTTTAATGAAGTATGTTATATTTCTAGATTTTTTAGTAGGAAGTCATCCTTGAATACTCTAATACATTCAACTTTTTAAAAATCCTTTTTAAAATGTATTATTTTTATTGGAGTATAGTTGCTTTACAATATTGTGTTAGTTTATATTGTACAGCAAAGTGAATCAGCTATACGTATACATATATCCTCTCTTTTTCAGATTTCATTCTCATTTAGGTCACCAGAGAGCACTGAGTATCTAATACATTCAACTTTTACCATGGAGTATTATTTTTTTTAAGTGTGTCACTTAACTGTATTTGCCAGTATTGGAGGGAGGGCAGGACTGGCGTTAAATGAGATTGATCTATGGCTTTCCTTTTTTATTAAATCATATTTAGGTTTAGCCATTATCTCACTTCATAAAAGAGTTTGGAAGCTTTTCATGGATGTCTTTTAATAATTTTAAAAAATATGTTAAACATTAAGATTACGTAATTTTCTTATACTGTCAGGAGCTTCAAAAAGGTAAATTGTAGAAGATGGAACTACTTATATTCATTCAGGATGCTTAGAAAAGACAATTCCTGCTACAAATATACCCGCTCTAACAAGAATGGAAAGAGAAGCTGAATAAAGTAGGCCTATTTATTATACCAAATGTTCTCTGAATTTGAGAAATGGATGAGAGAAAATCACTTGGCTTTTAATGCAAAGAGAAACTTTTGAACTCTTGGTTATAATGAGAACCTTAAAATGGGGTAACTCATGGTGGGTCATTCATATATAAATATAAAATAAAATAGACAAAGAACTCAGAAAATTGGTCTCTTTCATAATCTTTGGAGACAAGTGATAGTAATCGCTTAAAATTAAGTATGTTTTTGTTTGATGTTATTATAAATGGAAATGTTTTCTTAATTTTGTTTTCAACATATTTATTACCAATATATAGAAAACATTGATATAAAAAATATTAAGTATGTTTTCTTGGTGTACTTTAGGAAAATAAGACTAGCATAGTATTTCTATCCACTAGGATATTTAAATTAAAAGATAATGTTCAGTTATTCAGATACTGGCTTTAGATAGGAAATGCTTCCCTTCTAAATGATATATAAATATCTCTGAATATTTTAGCAGCATGAAAGCTTATTAGATGATTTTGTATTGTTCTAGGATAAATGCCGTGTCCAATGCTCAGGTGAGAGGTGACAGCTATGAAAGCGGCTGTTTAGGAAGAACAGGTAAGGGCACTTTGAGTTGTTAATGTATGCTGGCAAAAGAGGGATTTATCAGCAGAAAAAACAAAGCCTCTAGTGAGTCTTTATTTAGGGATGATTAATGATTATGCAGGATTTTAAAAAATTTACCTTTAAAAATGTTCTGTTGTTATTTAAAACTTTAAGAAAGTGAAAGTTACTGCCAGAGGTTACTGGTTTTTGTCATGTTATATTGCCCATAGTATATAGATAAAATGTTACCAGGCAAAATCAATGGATCTTGACTGTTCCTGTGTTAATGATGGATTTATTCTTATCCCAAATGTTGACCAATAATATTACTTACAAGATGGCTGACCGTGATTACTGAACAGCAAAGTATGGACACATTAAGAGATCAAACTTAGGACTACAGTGTTTTTCACATTCAGTTCTGATCACCTGAGTAACCCCCCATAGGCTACAACAGAAGTATTTCGAAGAAACATGCTGTTTGTCTACATATACATATTTTTTTGAGTTTGAATTTTTTTTGATTTGTCATCCAACAGTATTGTTCTTTTGTTCAGATTATAACACATTCTATTAGAATCCAGGGGTTTGTTTTCAGTGGAATTTCCATGCTGTATATAAAAAGCTCAGGACTAGACATTCTATTTCCGGCCTTTAAGGACTAGGAGGGGTGACTTGTGGTTATAGCAGGAATTTGGAGTAGGTGGGGGAGGAAGTTTGAAGGATGGTTAAGAATAATAGTAAGTACTTGTAGAATGCTTAGTGTGTACCAAAGACTGTCCTGAATGCTCTACACATTAACTCAATTAATTGTCACAATAGTCCTATAAGGTAACCACTCTTGTCCTCAGTTTTAGATTAAGGAACTAAGGCACAGAGAGCTTAAGTAACTTGTCCAAAGTCATAAAGCAAATAAGTGGTGGGACCAGGATTTGAACACTGTCAATCTGGTTCCAGAGCCCATGCTCTTGGCCACCATGCTATGTTTGTATCCAGTCGAGAATCATTTAGTCTCTTTGTCTACAGTATTATATATATATATATATATATATATATATATATATATATATATATATTTGTCAGTGTATTTGAGGATAACTTATATAAAATATAAAATAAAATTCAATTTAAAGCGTACAGGTCGATGAGTTTTGACAAATGTATACAGTTGTGTAACTGCCACTACAATCATGATGTAGAATATTTCCATTACTCCAGAAAGTTCCCTCATATCTCTTTGTAGTTAATCCCCTTTCCCCCACCTCCTGGCCACCACTGATCTGCTTTCTATCACTGTAGTTTTGCCTTTTCTGGAATCTCATATAAATGGAATCATAAGACATAAGTATCATAAGTATCATAAGACATTAAACCAAATCAAGGAGCTGACAAGCTTAGCTTTAAAAAAATTTTCTTTTTTTGGTAAGAACACTAAACATGAGATCTCCTCTCAACACAATTTTAAATGCACAATACCATATTGCTAACTGTAGGCACCGTGTCGTACAGCAGCTCTCTAGAGTTTATTCATCTTGTGTAGCTGAAACTTTATACCCGTTGAACAGCAATTCCCACTTCCCCCTCTCCTAGCTCCTGGCAACCACTACTGTACCCGCTGTTTCTATGAATTTGACTCTCTTAGATACCTCACATAAGGGGAATGGGCCTTAAAAAAGAAGGAAATTCTGCCATATGTGACAACAGAGGTGAACCTGGAGGACATTATGCTAAGTGAAATAAGCCAGTTACAGGGGGACAAATTAGCTTTCATTTGTACCTGATGCTTTAAATGCTGATGCACATTTTATAATTTCACTTCCATTGTGGTCCTTGAAGAATTGGAGAGGTTGGGAATAGTGATAAATGACAGGTGAACCTAAGTTAAAAGTGCATTGTGTGTGTCTGTGCATGCATGTTTACACACACATGCATGCCTTGTGCCCCAGCTTCAGCAGGTAATGTCAGGAATGAGTGAGAGTAAAGAATAAAAAAGCATGTATTAGCAAGTGATGTTGTGCATAGAGCACACATTAATGTATTTGATCATTTTTCTTTCAAAAATATTCCACAGGCAGTGCTGTGGATTATGTTACTATTATCTATTTTCTGTAGAAAATTTCATTGTAACTTACCCAAAACTTTTTAGCTTAAAGGTAGAACTTGTATGTGCCTTGAGTCTGTCTGGTTCCAAAGCCCATACTTTTTACTCTCAGTAGTGACTATAACATTTTATTCCATGATTATTTCTTACCCAGTTAAAATTCACAGTCAGCTTACATCAGTTTACATTTATACGTGGTACCTTTAGTGCAAGTTCTGTCTAGTGCTTCAAAAATTCAGGGCAAACTATCTTGTAGGCATGCTCAGCTCTTGCCACACTAAGCTTTCATACTACTTAAATGGTTTATGTGTAATTTATTCCCATTTAATTCCCAGAGGAATTTGAAGGAAAGTTATTAACGTAATAAATATACTACAAATGGAACTGTTAAATAAGAAGGAACAGGAACTAGGTAGAAAGAAGATCATGTATTGATACTTATAGACTCTAGGACAAAATGGATACTCTTAATTATTAACCTTGACTCTGAGCTTCCTGGTAGTCAAAACAAAAAAGGGAAAACGTTACAGTTTTTTACTTTTTGCTAAACAAAAGCGTACTCATTTTTCAAGGGAAGTTTTTTTCTTGTTCAGTTTTGTTAAAAAATTTTTGTGTGGTCATATATAAAGGACATGAAGGAAAATAATTACAAGTATTTTTGATACTTCCTTTCATTCACTTTAGGTAAAAGCTGTGATTGAATTTGGAGGATGTTTTCCTCCAAGGAAGTAAACATTGCTGTATATTTCTGGAGATCTGCTTAGTATTATAATAAAATTTAGATAACCTAGGGACCCATTTCTCTCAAATATCAGCTGTTCTACCCATTCTGAGCTTTGAGCTTCCTTTATATCTGGTGTCTAAAATATATGAATTTCTGTTCAGTTAGTAACAGAATATCTGAAATTGAGGCAAATTTAGCTTTCTATTATGGAAATTGGCTTGGATTTTATTTTCACTTCAGGGGAGCTATATTCCCCTTCCATAGGGTGACAGGCTGTCAATATACCTGTGATCAGGGTCTGGCACAAATGCTAACTTGCTTTCCTAAAAATGTATTGAATCTACTCAGGTGTCCAGATGATCACTTTATTGAGATTCTGTTGTATAACTTCTAAAATTCTATACAGTAGGGGGTTGAAGAGATACTTTCGTCCTTGAACTTTTCAAGGGTATGTGGTACAGTTTGGCTGAATAAGAGAGATTGAATATATGGTTGCTGTTAGTACCATGTTGAGTAGTACCATGATGTTAACGTTGATGAAAAGAGGTCATATGGTCCTTATTCATTTGCATTCTCTCATTCCTGTGTGGTAATGGCTATCTGAAATACATTTGCTACTTCTAATAGAGCAATTACTTTGATAATATATACAACACGGTAATTTTTCAGTTAGGGGTTTTTTTTTTTTTTTTTTTTTTTTTTTTTTGCGGTATGCGGGCCTTTCACTGTTGTGGCCTTTCCCGTTGCGGAGCACAGGCTCCGGATGCGCAGGCTCAGCGGCCATGGCTCACGGGCCCAGCCACTCCACGGCATGTGGGATCCTCCTGGACCGGGGCACGAACCCGTGTCCCCTGCATTGGCAGGCGGACTCTCAACCACTGCGCCACCAGGGATACCCTCAGTTAGGGTTTAATTAATCAGTTTAGTCAAATAATTACTTCTGAAACTTTCCTACTTTAGTTAACTCAGCTGTTAGTTTCTCTAGCCAGTAGAATGGTAACTTACCCTTTTTCCCTTTCCAAGTATCGCTTAACACCTTTTAGTTTTAGTTTCTTTTTTTCAATCTTCATTCAGTTAAATGTTTTAGCAGGTGTATATAAATACGTGACTGTCTTTGATAGGCATAGCATATATTAGATGAGCAGTGTTCTAGTGTTATGTATTCCTAAGGCATAGAGCTGTAGAAATGAGCAAAATCATAAAGCCTATTTTTCACACAGGTGCTCGAGTTTGGCTCTTCATTGGTTTCATGTTGATGTTTGGGTCACTTATTGCTTCTATGTGGATTCTTTTTGGTGCATATGTTACCCAAAGTAAGTATTTATTCCTCTTTTATTTCATAGGAAAGATTCAGATATGTCCTTTATATTTGGCTTAGTCTGTTAACTCCCCGTGGAGTAAAATTTAGTTTAATAATTCAGTTAGCTTGAAGATAAGACTCTGTTTGAAGATATAAATTATTTAATAAAACTTCTCAGTGGGGTCATTTAGTGCAGTGGGATAGCCTCGTTAGGAAATCCAAGCCACTGACAAGACCAGGTAACTCTCAGCTGTCTCTAGAGGTTCTGATTTCCTTCCTTACCCCAGATAGCCAGGCTCTATACCAGAGGCCTTTTACTGAGCGTTGTAGTGGTAAAAGTGAGAAATCTGTACAGGGCTACAGCCCCTTATACACAATTCTAAAATCCACAAAAGTGCTGAAGGTCAGGTTTTTCATAACCAGTTTGGCAGCAAAACCTGACTTAATGATCCAGGGCTCATTATAGTCTTTATTTCATTTAATAAGTATTCAAATGTTTTATTAGAGGAATGTGGTTGTATTTGATTGTGGGATGCTGGTCCAAACATAGTTGGGGGTGCTATGTAATATTATGCCCTGTGTTACCGTTTTTCTTTTTTTAATAAATTTATTTATTTATTTATTTTTGGCTGCATTGGGTCTTTGTTGCTGCACATGGGCTTCCTCTAGTTGCAGGGTGCGGGGGCTCCTCTTCGTTGCGGTGCGCAGGCTTCTCATTGCTGTGGCTTCTCTTGTTGCAGAGCATGGGCTCTAGGTGCGTGGGCTTCAGTAATTGTGGCACATGGGCTCAGTAGTTGTGGCTCGCGGGCTCTAGAGCTCAGGCTCAGTAGTTGTGGTGCATGGGCTTAGTTGCTCCGCGGCATGTGGGATATTCCCGGACCAGGGCTCAAACCCGTGTTCCCTGCATTGGCAGGTGGATTCTTAACCACTGAGCCACCAGGGAAGTCCCCCTGTGTTACCATTTTTAAATCTGAAAAATCCTGAGTTCCAAAACATACCTTGCCCCAAGGATTTCAAGGTAAGGTGTTGTGGACCCCAGTATCTTTCTGTCCACTGATACATCTTCTCTCCAACCCCAGCCTCTAATTTTTCATTCATAGGTACAAGGGGAGGTTTTTTTTTTTTAGGGGGCAGAGGTGCTGAGAAGCACTGCCAGTTCACAAGGGGAGTTTTTTAAGTGCAAGACTGAAAACGTGTGTAGCCTTCATGTTGAAACTGGTGATGCAATGGAGTGAGCTCTTAGTATCCCATTCTGAGTTTTGTGACTGTTCCAGTCACCATAGCTTTTCATCACGGGGATGGCGAGAGGTTTTGAAAAGCAGGACCCAGTCTTAGCATGTGCTTAGCATGTGCTTCTGGAAGCATCAGAAGAACTTCTTTCACTGGCTCTCTCCCTTCACTCCAAAGACAGGAATAAGTTTCAGATAACAGTTTATTCATCTTCTGATGCCTCTATCTTTGGAATCTCTTCGTCACTCTCCTTAACTGTCACATCTTGTCCTGACCCACAGCTGACCTTTTAATATCTTGATAGGATCCCTTAAGTATCATAGATTGATCAGTATAAGATTTGGGAATACCTTCGTCCTTCATTTTGCACAAAATAAGTCAGTACAAGAGGACAGTGGTTGCCTAATGTTTAATTAATACTACTCTAAAATGTGTTATTTTAGTTAATTAAAAATACCCTGGAGCACACAGTTCTAGCATGAAACTTATTTGAGGGAAAGTACTTTTTTTACTTTCTTTCTTTTTTCTGGGGGCTGTGCCATGCAGCTTGGGGGATCTTGGTTCCCCAACCAGGGATGGAATCTGTGCCCTTGGTAGTGAGAGCGCAGAGTCCTAACCACTGGACCCAGGGAATTCCCTCAGTGGTCGTATCTTAATCTTTAAAGAACTAGTACATACTGAGAAGTTTCTAAATTATGGATCTCATCTTCATATTTCTACAGCGTTGCTCGTTACATATACTTTTTAGTTTGTAAACTGACTTCAGAGAGCATTTCTAACACATATTTCAGATCTTTTACTGTACAGATTTTTCTGGCACTGTTAATAATCATAGCAGCAGCTAACATTTATATAGCACTTTATGAGCCAGGAACTGTTCTGAGCACTATGCATAGTCCACATCTCACACTCTGTGGGGCAGGTGCTGTTACAATGCCCATTTTACAGATGAGGAAAGTAAGGCATAATGAGGTTAAATAATTTGCCCATGGTCATACATTTAGTCAGTGGTAGCATTAGGATTCAAATCCAGGGGTATGGCTCAAACTTGGGGCTTTTAACCATGCAGCTATATTGTTTGCTATGATATCAAAGGCTACAAATTGAATATTTCTTCATCCCAACTAGTATTTTTGATCAACATTGATAGTTTTATAAAAGTTAAATATCCACAAAAATTTGAGTAATTTCCAAATTTTTCTTTTTCCTTCCTATGAAGATAGTGACTGTTTTCTCCAGGAGAATATGATGATGAATTATAATGATTCTTTTCATATATGTCAGATTTGTGCAATAAAACTCCTGAATTCATGAAGGAAAATAAAATGAACAGACTGTTACATCATCAAAAATTTAATTTGTATCTTTCTAACATTGTGTGTTTCTGTATTGGCCATAGGAAATGAAGGGGTGAGCTGCTGCTTCCTTGGCAGTTCCGATGCAGCTAGAACCATAGCAACTACTTTAGACAAAAAGAAAACCTAATAATTTCATTGTCTTTTATCCAGAGTGAGAGTAATCCTTTGTTTTGGGAGAATGAGATTGTCATTTTCTTACTTCAATTTCATTGTGGATTTCCTAGAGTTAATGAATAATAGTAGTGTTTTATAATATACAGAGCATGTCATTATGAATGGCATGAATACTTAGTTACTGCCATTTCCCTTTTGTAATTATCTGATCTGTTTTACTTTGTGTGTGCAGATACTGATGTTTATCCAGGACTAGCTGTGTTTTTTCAAAATGCACTTATATTTTTTAGGTAAGTTGCCTAATTTTTTAACTATACACCTATAACATTTTTAGAAACATCATCTTTATTATAAGAGCAGCACAGGCACTGGAACATGTATAAATCTCTTGGATTAGTTACAATGTATTGAACTTCTTTTAAAAGGTGAAAATTCTACTATTGCATAAAAGCGTACACAAGCCATTTAATTAGGGGCCCTGCTATGTGCCAAGACCTCAGCTAGATGCTTTATATATGTTATCTTTTAAATTCCCACTTAATTATCTTAAGTATGTAAAACAGGTGGTGCTCCCATTTTATACATGAGGAAATAAGACTCAGTGCTTACTTAAGGCCGCTTAGCTAGCAAACGCAGAACGGGGATTTGAACCCAGACTGCTGCTTCCATAGCCTGTGTTTTGTTAAGAAACCATATCATGTACCTTTAATAAAATAAGAAAAAAAGAAATTAGAATTAATACATACTATGCATGTCGTATACAAAACCTGGTTGGTGAATTGGATTTTGTATTAAGTTTTTAAGATAACTTAAAGTAAGTATAAAAATAAAAGACTATCAAAAGTATTTTTTAGGGGCAATCTTCTAAACAGCTTCCAAAATGAGGCCCTGTAGCCTTTGCTTTCCAGAATGAAATGTCTTTTAGTGTAAAGATAGGTATTTTAGGCATCATTTATAAAATTATATCCCTTACCCCATACCCCTCTCACAAAAGCATTAAGATCTAAGCCTTGAAGAAATTTGTTTTTGTCATTGATTTTAAGCAATTTGATTATGATGTGCTGTGATGTAGTTTTCTTCATATTTCTTCTGTTTGGGGTTCATTGAGTTGCTTGGATCTGTGGATTTATAGTTTTCATCAAATTGGGAATCTTTTCAGACATTATTTCTTCAGATATTTTTTTCTGTCCACCTCGCCCTTCTGGCTTCCAATTACATGTATATTAGGCTGTGGGAAGTCATCCCACAGCTCACTGGTGCTTAGTTCTTTTCATGTTTTTTTTTGCCCTACCTCTCCACCCCTACTCTTACCCCATTGCTCCATCAAGTATTCTCTTTTCTTGTTTTCTCTCTGTATTTCATTTGGGATAGTTAAAGATTGTCATATCTTTAAGTTCACTAATCTCTACCTCTGTAATGTCTAATCTGCTATTACTCCCATCCAGTATGTTTTTCATCTTAGACATTGTATTTTTCATCTCTATTAGCTTGATTTTTTTTTTTAAAATTTCCACATCTCTCCCTAACATACTTATGCTTTCCTCTGCCTTCTTGAACATATGAAGTATGTTTATAACTATTTCAGTGTCCTTGTCTGATTGTGTCAGTTCTTAGTCTGTTCCTATTGATTATTTCTACTTATGTTTTTCATTCTGGATATCTTTTCCCCTGTTTGCTTCTTTGCATGAAGCTGATTGGGGGCTGGACTTTGTCGTATTCCTTTAAATGCTTTTGAGCTTTGTTCTGGATGCAGCTCAGTCACTTGGAAACAGTTCAATCCTTTCGAGTCTTGCTTTTAAGCTTCATTAGGCAGGACCAAAGCAGCTTTAGTCTGGGATTAATATGTCCCCTTACTAAGGCAGTACGCTTTTGAGTATTCTTCCTGATTCTCCATGTAGTCTGAGGTTTTCCACTCTGCTATGAGATTCTGAAGTCATCCCAGCCCTGTGGGAGCTTTGGGAATTGTTCTTTCCAGTGATTCCTGCCCTTTTCTTGGGTAGTTTCCTCACATGCATCTGCTGTCAGCACTCAGCAGAAGCCTCAAGGGGAACCCCCTACCGATCTCCTGGGCGCCCCCTCTCTAGCTCACTGTATCCCGTCTTGCACACTCCAGCCACTTGGCCTCCCTGAACTCTCAACTCTGTTTCCTCAACTCAGGGAGACCACTGTGCCCTGCCTGGGTTCCCTCTTATTGCACTGTGGCCTTGGACACTCTTGGTTTTGAAAGATGTTCAACAGTTTCTGCTGTCTTATGATTGTATTTCTTGGCATGTGACTGACAGCCTTCTGGGAATACAGTGAATTTTCATGAAGACAACTTAGGCACTGTTGAGAGATCAAATTTAAATTCAGATTCAGCCCTTTACAGTGGTAGAGGAGTCTATATAAATGACAGTTGGATGAACAGAAACCTTGTATGTGTAAAGGCCTGTGCTTACGTGGGCAGTGACCACTGCATCAGCGATGCACTATGCGCAGAGACCGGCAAGCTATCCAGCCAGCTGTGTGCTTCCTGTGTGCCAGGCCTTTTCTAAGTACCAGAGTGCACTCCTACTTCTCCGGCCACTCTTCGTCTGTTTCCTTTGCAGGCTGATCCTCCACCCTCTGGCCGCTAACTTTTGAAGTTTCTTAAGGTTCTGTTCTAAGCCTCTTCTCAACTCGTTCTTTCTCTAGGTGAGGTCCTTTTTGCTTGGGACTTCAGTTATTGCCTATATGCCAGTGAGTCACAGCTGTCTATCTCCACGTCTAAACCACATATCTAGATTCTTACTTATCCCCTCTTGGGTGGCTGACATTTCAAATCTACCATCTCCAGCGTACCCACAACTCAAACTCACGTTGCCAGAGTGTCCCATCTCTCTGCCCCGCTCCTTCCCTTATACCTTGCTGAGATAATTCCCACTCTTCTTTTAGATCTCAGTTCAGTCACTACTTCCTCAGGAAAACCTTCTTGACCTCTAACTAGATCAGATCCTTATATTTCCCTCTCTTGGTACCATGTGTGTCATTGAGTTGGAATTTGATTGTCTCCTATTAGTGAGCACATTTGTCTTGTTTTGACTCACAGTCACATTCCCAGTGCTTAGCTAGGTGCCTGGTGCCCAGCCAGTACTCTGTACAGTAATTATTTGTTAAATGAACGAAGAATTTCAACATGGTCTGTTAGGATGCTTCAGTGTTTGTAGCTCAGACATTGTAGGATCATAGAGATGTGAGTGGCCCTCATGCCGGCTACTATGAGAAATGCCCCCTTTCCTTACAAGTGACCTATCTAGTAACCTCAGGCTTTAAGAAAAGATATTCAATTAAGCTCAACCATCAAGGTCAACAAACTGCTTTATAAAACAAGAAAATTCAGACCAACACCACCACAATCTTTAATTTTAGAAATTGATACAAAGGGATCAGTGAGTTACCCATCAAAGCATATTTAGAAAATAAATTCTCTTTTGCGTTTCTGTGTGATTTTACCTCATGATTTATTTTAATATCTTTCTAGCACTCTGATCTATAAATTTGGAAGAACTGAAGAGCTATGGACCTGAGATCACTTCTCAAATCACATTTTCCTTTTGTTATATTCTATTTGTAGATAAGTTTTTATCTCTCAATATAATTTACACATTGCCAAATGGAATAGATTGTACATTAAATGTTTTGTTTCTTTACACTTTTATGCTCTGAGTTTTGAAATAGTTTTATGAAATTTCTGTCCTTTTTTTTTTCATTGAATAGATTGTTAATATGTACATAGTATAAGACTATATAGATGAGATGATCCATGTCGGTTTTTTTATTCTTGAAGACTTAAAGCTTAATCTGTTCCCTGAGCCAGGGTTGTATCATCATCTAATTGTAGAGTTAACTACTTTGTCTCAGTATCTCTGATTTTCAAAATGTGCAAAAAATACAGCTCCATATACCTGAAATAAGCGCTGAGCCATTAAAAAAGGTATTTCAGCAAGTTGTAATTTATTTTGGCTTAAAAATGAGATTGTTTTTTTAAAGGAAAAATGTTTGTTCTTATGTATAAAGTGGACTTTTATATGAAGATTTTAAAAAATGCCTGAAGGACTAGTTTGAAAGCCTCTTTTAAAAACAATTCCTCTCATATGACTTTATTTGAGAAGGGTTAATACATGATCAGATAAGCTCAGTTTTATATGGTTGATGTAAAAAGACTGTAAGGCAGCTCAGCAACGTGCTTCTTACAAAAGCAGCTTAAATGGTTCTCTTTTGACAGCCTACTATTATCTGACATTACAAAATTCTATATCAAGCAAGTTTGAGACAACTGCAGCTTAAAAGCATGAACCATACAACAAAAAGTGGAATAATTAGTTTCAAGATAAAGCACTTCTTCCCAAAGGGGATTATTATGACCTAGTGAAAAATTAGGCGTTTCATCCACTCAGTTACTGACTGCAAGTGTCTTTTTGCTCTAGCTCTCAAGCTTTAGGTGAACTCTTATTGCAGAATACATCTTTAACCTGAAAGTTCTTACTCCAGTCAAAAACGTCTTTTGCTGAGTTTGAAATACTGTATTTGCACTGAGTGTATTCCCATGAGAGATTTCAGAGGGATAGTTGGGTCTTTGTTTCTAATTTTGCTTTCCTTTGTTATACAGGTCTTGTGTTGCACTTTTTTCCTCCAAAGGGATTTTTCTAGAGCCTTTTGTTGTAAGACAGAATAATATCAGTGGTATTATATGCAGCTTCTAATATAAGCCTTATTTTGCTTAATGTCTCTCCTCTCTGAGGATTTACTGTGCACAGAGTATGAAGCAGTTGTGGAATGCTGTGCCTTTGTCTAGATACCATCTTAATTACTTCTTTCTTTGTTGTTTTTTCCTCAAAAAAACTGTCTTGCTTCCAACAAATTTTAAGACTGATTACTTGTTTCCACTCCCTTTTAACCTCTTGCAATAAATATTACTTCTCACACATTCTGGTATTGTTAAATCTGTTGGAGAAAATGAACTATAAAACTGGGTTGGCTGTTCATTTTGCAGTTACTCAAGTGGACCTGGTCAAAGAAGCAGTTTCCCTTTATAAAATAAAGAGAAATATATATATATATATATATATATATATTTTTTTTTTTTTTTGGTGGGGGGTGGTGGAGCATGCCATGCAGCTTGTGGGATCCTAGCTCCCTGACCAGGGATCAAACCTGGGCCCTCGGCAGTGAAAGCACGGAGTCCTAACCACTGGACCAGCAGGAAATTTCCAGGAGAACTGTATTATACTCAGATTTGTGAAATGCTAATGTGAAGGCTAATGAAGGCCGTCCAGAAGGCCTAGTGGCTGTTTTTTCTGTTTTTGACTCTGTCACGAATTTGTTTTTTAATTGTGAGCAAATCACTTAATTTCCCTGTTTGTTTCCTCATTAAAAAAATAAAAGATAATGTTAGTATCCACTCCTATCAGACATTGTAAGTTAGAATAGAGTCCTTTGTAATCATTTAAAGATACATGTGATTCCCTTAATATAAAGGTCTCCTGGGGAAGAGTCAAGATTGGCAGTGTGGGAAGATGCCAAATTAGCGTCTCCCCACAACTAGGGTGCCTGCTGGCCACTGGTGGGGGACCCTGATGCCCAAGGAGATGGGAGGAACCCCCAAGTCAACTGATAGGATGTGGAGGGACAGAAGGGGTAGGAGAAGTGGAGGCCAGACAGGATCCACACCCCTGAGGCCAGGGAGTTCAGGAGAGGTAGGCAGGAGGGACCCTCTGGGAGGAGTGGAGGGCATTTGCCCCACCCACTCGGGCCCTGGGAGCCCACTGAGCTCCCAGGCCAGTCCCCTGCCCTCCAAGGCTCCCTCCACTCCCCTGCCACATTGGTCCTGGGATCATAGGAAGGAGGCTGGGGAGATCAGGAGAGGCAGGTGGGAGGGGCCCTCCAGGAGAATCAGGAGAGGAGTGAAGGGTGTTTGCCCCACCCACTCAGGTCCAGGGAGCCTGATGAGCTCCCAGGTTGGTCCCCTGCCCTCCAAGGCCCCCCAACCCCGCTCCCCCTGGCCACATTGGTCCTGGGGGCATAGGAAGGAGGCTGAGGGGAGTTAAGGAGAAGCAGGGGAGAGGGGCCCACCAGGAGGAGCAGGAGAGGAGCAGAGGGTGATTGCCCCGCCCACTCGGGCCCAGAAAGCTTGCTGGGCTCCCAGGTGAGGTCTCCCGCCATCTGACACCAGGGGTGGGGGGCACGCCTGGGCCCCTTCTGTTCCTTGAGCCTAAGGCCCACGCCCCCCAGCCCCCAGGGTCTTTTCCAGCCCTGTGGGTCCTGAGCATTGGCCCCGCCACCGCCGAAACCTCGCCCTTGCTTACACCCTGCCCTCCACAGCCAAGGCCATTTCCCCTGTTTTTTTTCTTTTCCCTCCTCCTCTTTTTTACTATTATAGTACTGATATACCTTCTGGTTGTTGATTCGTCTATATTTTTATATTCTTCCTAAAATATCTGTTAGTTTCCTAGTCTATTTTATTTTTTACTTCATTTTTTTTTTTGCTGCCCCAGGTGGCCTGTGGTATGTTGGTTCACGAGCCCAGGGTCAGGCCTAAGCTCCTGCAGTGGGAGCTCCGAGTCCAAACCACTGGACTAAAGAGAACCTCAGACCCGAGGGAATATTCATTGGAGTGAGGTCTCATGGAGTTCCTCATCTCAGCACCAAGACCCAGCTCTACTCAATAGCCTACAAACCCCAGTGTTGGAAGCCTCAGGCCAAACAACCAGTAAGATAGGAACACAATCCCACACATTAAAAAAAAAAATGGAAGGCTTCCCTGGTGGTGCAGTGGTTGAGAATCTGTCTGCTAATGCAGGGGACACGGGTTCGAGCCCTGGTCTGGGAAGATCCCACGTGCCATGGAGCAACTAGGCCCGTGAGCCACAACTACTGAGCTGGCGTGTCTGGAGCCTGTGCTTCGCAACAAGAGAGGCCATGATAGTGAAAGGCCCACGCACTGCGATGAAGAGTGGCGCCTGCTTGCCACAACTAGAGAAAGCCCTCCCACAGAAACAAAGACCCAACACAGCAAAAAATTAATTAATTAATTAATAAACTCCTACCCCCAACATCTTCTTTAAAAAAATAAATAAATAAATTGAGATGGCAAAAGTGTCACAGATGAAGGAGCAAGGTAAAAACCTACAAGACCAAATATATGAAGAGGAAATAGTCAATCTACCTGAAAAAGAATTCAGAGTAGTGATAGTAAAGGTGATCCAGAATCTTGGAAATAGAATGGAAGCGTGGATTGAGAAAATACAAGAAATGTTTAACAAAGATCTAGAAGAACTAAAGAACAAACAGAGATGAACAACTCAATAACTGAAATGAAAAATACACTAGAAGGAATCAATAACGGAGGCAGAACGAATAAGTGAGCCGGAAGACAAAATTGTGGAAATAACTGCTGAGGAGAAAAATAAAGAAAAAAGAATGAAAAGAATTGAAGACAATCTCAGAGACCTCTTGGACAACACTAAATGCACAAACATTCGAATTATAGGGGTCCCAGAAGACGAAGAGAAAAAGAAAGGGTCTGAGAAAATATTTGAAGAGATTTTAGTGGAAAACTTCCCTAATATGGGTAAGGAAATACCCAAGTCCAGGAAGCACAGAGAGTCCCATACAGGATAAACCCCAGGAAAAACACACCAAGACACATATAATCAAACTAACAAAAATTAAATTCAAAGAAAATATATGAAAAGCAGCAAGGGAAAAACAAAATAACACACAAAGGAATCCCCATAAGGTTATCAGCTGATTTTTTCAGTGGAAACTCTGCAGTCCAGAAGGGAGTGGCAGGATATACTTAAAGTGATGAAAGAGAAAAACCTACAACCAAGATTACTCTACCCAGCAAGGATCTCATTCAGATTCAACAGAGAAGTCAAAAGCTTTTCAAACAAAAGCTAAGATAATTCAGCACCACCAAACAACTTTACAGCAAATGCTAAAGAAATTTCTCTAAGCAGGAAACACAAGAGAAGAAAAAGACCCACAAAAACAAACCCAAAACAATTAAGAAAATAGTAATAGGAACATACATATTGATAATAACTTTGAATGTAAATGGATTAAATGCCCCAACCAAAAGACACAGACTGGCTGAATGGATACAAAAACAAGACCCATATATATGCTGTCTACAAGAGACCCACTTCAGACCTAGGGACACATACAGACTGAAAGTGAAGGGACAGAAAAAGATATTCCATGCAAATGGAAATAAAAAGAAAGTTGGAGTAGCAATACTTGTATCAGATAAAATAGACTTTAAAATAAAGACTTACAAGAGATAAGGAGGGACACTACATAATGATCAAAGGATCAATCCAAGAAGAAGATATAACAATTATAAATGTTTATGCACCCAACATAGGAGCACCTCAATACATAAGGCAAATGCTAACAGCCATGAAACCACTTACACCAATAGATCATCCAAACAGAAAATAAATAAGGAAACACAAGCTTTAAATGACACAGTAGACCAGATCTAATTGATATTTGTAGAACATTCCACCCAAAAGTGGCAGAATACACTTTCTTTTCAAGTGCACACGGAACATTCTCCAGGATAGATCATATCTTGGGTCACAAATCAAGCCTCAGAAAATTTAAGAAAATTGAAATTGTATTAAGCATCTTTTCTGACCACAAGGCTATGAGATTGGAAATCAATTACAGGAAAAAAGCTGTAAAAAACACAATACATGGAGGCTAAACAGTGCACTACTAAATAACCAAGTGCACAAACAGTGCACTACTAAATAACAGTGCACTACTAAATAACCAAGAGATCACTGAAGAAATCAAAGAAGAAATTAAAAAATACATAGAAACAAATGACAATGAAAACACGACCCAAAACATATGGGAGGCAGCAAAAGCAGTTCCAAGAGGGAAGTTTATAGCAATTCAATCTCACCTCAAGAAACAAGAAAAATCTCAAATAAACAATCTAACTCTACACTTAAAACAACTAGAGAAAGAAGAACAAAGAAAACCCAAAGTCAATAGAAGGAAAGAAATCATAAAGATCAGAGCAGAAATAAATGAAATAGAAATGAAGAAAACAGCAAAGATTAATAAAACTAAAAGCTGGTTCTTTGAGAAGATAAACAAAATTGATAAACCCTTAGTCAGACTCATGAAGAAAAAAAAGGAGAGGACGCAAATCAATAAAATTAGAAATGAAAAAGGAGAAATTACAACTGACACTGCAGAAATACAACGGATTATAAGAGACTACTACAAACAACTATATGCCAATAAAATGGACAACCACAAAGAAATGGTCAAATTCTTGGAAAGGTACAATTTTCCAAGATTGAACCAGGAAGAATTAGAAAATATAAACAGGCCTATCACAAGTAATGAAATTGAAACCATAATTAAAAATCTTCCAACAAACAAAAGTCCTGGACCAGATGGTTTCACAGGCGAATTCTATCAAACATTTAGAGAAGAGCTAACACCCATCCTCCTCAAACTCTTCCAAAAAATTGCAGAGGGAGAAACACTCCCAAATTCATTCTACGAAGCCACCATCACCCTGATACCAAAACCAGAAAAAGATATCACAAAAAAAGAAAATTATAGACCAATACCACTGCTGAACATAGATGCAAAAATCCTGAACAAAATCCTGAACTAGCAAACAGAATCCAACAGCACATTAAAAGGATCATACACCATGATCAAGTGGGATTTATCCCCGGGATGCAAGGATTCTTCAGTGTACTCAAATCAATCAATGTGATACACCACAGTAACAAATTAAGGAATAAAAACCGTATGATCGTCTCAGTAGATGCAGAAAAAGCTTTTGACAAAACTCAACACCCATTTATGATAAAAACTCTCCAGAAAATGGGCATAGAGGGAACCTACCTCAACATAATAAAGGCCATATACGACAAACCCACAGCAAGCA